TGCGTGCATGCCCAAGATCCGGAGAGGAGAACGGAGAAGGGACTGTGGCGTGGCCATCCCCCCGGGGGGTGATTTCTCACTTTCCGTCTTTCTGTTTCTGTCTTTCTGGCGAGCGCACGTGCCCTATAGCGAAAACCTCTTCAAGAAAAAGAAGAAAAAAAGTTTTATACTTTCAGGTCTTGTGTTTAGATCTTTTATCCATTTTGAGTTGATTTTTATGTAAGGTAAGGGGCCAGTTTCTTTTTTTTCTTTTCTTTTCTTTTCCTTTTTTTTTTTTGGTCTCTGTTGAAATCTAATTTTCCCAGCCGCGTTTATTGAAGTGACTATGCTTTATCCATTAGTTGCCTTGTTGAAAATTAGTTGACTATTTATATTTGGATTTGTTTCTGGGCTTTCTTTTTCATTCCGCCTTGGTGTGGGGCCGGAGTGGACGCGCTGAGCTGGGGGCGGGGTGTCTCTATTTCTTGAACCATGTGAGTTGGATATTAAGATTTGGAATAGGGCCAGCAGTTGGTGTGATATCTATGTTGCTGGACTCCCATGTAGTCGACCATGGTTTGAGTCCCGGACCTGGTGGCTTAAACTCATGCTGGGCGCCTGTGCATGCATGCCCAAGGAGGAGAATGGAAGAGAAGGGATTGTGGCATGGCCATCCCCCCTGGGCGGGGTAATTTCTCAATTTCTGTCTTTCTGGCAAGTGCATGTGCCCAATAGCAAAAAAAAAAAAAAGGGAATAGTTCAAAGCAGGATCAAAAATTGTGAATTTTTTTTTCCCCTATAGATGCATATCCTTGGTGGAGAGAGACAGGGATAGGGGTAAATGAGTTAGAAATTACCCTTTCCCCCTCAAGGGAGATGGCCATGCCACGATTCCTTCTCCATTTTCCTCTTAGGATTTTTGGCATGCATGTTCATGCACCTAGCATGATTTTTTCCTTTCCTTTCCTTTCCTCTTCTTTTTCGTTCGTTCATTCGTTTGCTCGTTCGCTATAAGGTGTATGCACTCATTGGAGAGAAAGAGATACAGAAAATGAGAAATCCTCCCCCCCCCAGGGGGGATGGACACATTGTAATCCCTTTTCTTCTATTCTCCTCTTGGGATTTTGGCCATGCATGAACACACTCCTGGTGTGAATTTTAAGCCACCAGGTCCAGGACTCAGACTGTGGTCAACTATGTGGGAGTCCAGCGATATAACCATTACACCAACTGCTGGTCCCCCACCTGGTGTGATTTTCATGCCGCAGTGTGTGGGGCTTGAACTGAGGTCATCCATGTGGTAGTCTAGCACGTATGACCTAGCCATGGTGATAAAGAGATAACACCACAATCTGCAATGCTGGAAGGTCAAGATTTGGCTCCTAGGTTGAGCTGTCCACCTAGGCTTGCTTGTGTGTGCTGGTGATTCATCCTGGCTGGGGATAATGGGATGGGATCCTGATAAGGGTGTTTGTCTTTTTCTGTCTTTGTCTCTTGTGAAATAAAGAAAGGAAACTTAAAAAAAAATTAGCGAAACTATTAGCTGCCACATGTATCAAAGCATTTTTTATGGTAGGTAGAAAAAATACATTTATAAAATGTGAATATTATGTCATTATCATACCAACAATTTAAAAAATTATATTTGTGGGGTTGAATTATTGTTGTATTATTTGTTTATTTGTGAAATTTAATATTTCTAGAATATATAAAGATCAAAAGTAAGATGCTTTAGGTTGAGTAAAAATGCCTATTCAGATAAAACTTAATTGGTTATTAAAACTATTTTGAGTATTTAAAGATGTGTTCCAGGTAAATATAATGCTGTATATAACTTGTGAATGTATATAAATGGCACAAGTAAGTTGTGAATTTAGTTATTGTAGAGGTATATGAAACTTCACTATAAAACTATTCAGTGTTTTTATTCTGATGTCTATAAAGAAGCTTTAAAAACTCTCTTCTAGCTCTGATTTCTTTAAATATAGATAATTATCCTTCAGGGTTATTGCAAGGTGTTTAAAAGAGGAAGATTGTTGCTATTTTTCCTGAAGAAATTCATTTAATCTCTTTAGACATTGTGTTAACAAATTTTTGGTTCCTCTCTGGCTTAAGCTGTAGCAGCTTAAGCTTTGCTCACTTTGACTAATTAAGACTAATACCATTGTGTTCCTGCCACTCCAATTCTTTCTAATTTAGCTTTTCTAAAAGAATGCCTGTTAATAAGCAAAGCCACAGATGAACAGAGGATAAAAATAATTTTGTGCTTCATTAACCATCAATCTGCAGCCTCTCTTCTGTTGTCTTAATGTGGAGAGAATGGTTAGTTTAAAAAACATTTGTTCTTCTGAGCTTTGTGTTGTATATGATGGAGTCATTCACCATCAGAAACAGATCTTTGCAGTTTTCTTTAATGCAGTTTATGAAAAATGGGTTATACTAAACATAGTAATATATATGTCTGCATAACCATGCTAAAAGTTTTTTTTTAATTAAAGAAAAGGCAAAATGACATTCTAATAGTCATGTTCAGCTAGATAAAATGAACCTTGAGCATTTGAAGTTTATGGTTGCATTAGTCAACTGAGATTCTTCTACCAAAGTTACTACAGTGCTTCTAATGATTGATGACCTTTATAACCAATTGGCCAGCCTTTTAGATAATATTATAAATAAAGGGGCAGTTAGCATAGAAAATTGGCAAATAATAAGGGAAATATAGGGACCAGCAGTTGGAGGTAATGTCTATGTTGCTGGACTCTCATGTAGTCGACTGCAGTTCGAGTCCCGGACCCGGTGGCTTAAAATCATGCTGGGCTCGTGTGTGTGTGTGTGTGTGTGTGTGTGTGTGTGTGTGCCCAAGATCCCTAGAGGAGAATGAAGGAGAAGGGATTGCGGCATGGCCATCCCCTCTGGGGGTTGATTCCTCACTTTCTGTCTCTCTGTCTCTGTCTCTCACTGTCTTTCTGGCAAGTGTACGTACCCTTTACCAAAAACCTCTCCAAAAATAAATAAAGGATATGTAATGAGATTGTAGCTTTAATGCTTTTTGGGTCAACATTCCCTTGAGATTTTTTTCTTATATTTTTTTCTTAGCAGTTGTACCTGTTTTATTGCAGATTTCAGTAGATATGTTCTTATTTATTTGTTCCTAAAACTGTGTAACTATGCTTGCTTATTTGGCCAACATACTGTAAATTTTAAGTCATTGCAAAAGTCATGACATATTTTTCTATGTTTTTTCTTTGCAAAAATGCATCATAACTTTTCTGATGACCAATATTATAACTTTTAATGAAGTAAATGAATTGGGGCCACCTGGTTGGGTGCGGTTATGGTGACTGGATCCTATATTGTTGACTATGTGGTTTAAGTCTGGGAGGTGGCAGCTTGAAAAACACACTGGGCATATATATGTACATGTACTCCCAAAATCCTGAGAGGAGAATGGAGGTGAAGGAATTATGGCATGGCCATCCTCTCTGAGGGTGCTTTATCACTTTTCCTATCTTTTTCTGACAAGTGCACACATCCTATAGCAAATTAGAAAAAAAAAGAATTGAAATTTAATTAGCTAGAGGGCACATGTGCTCTCAAGAGGGAGAGAAGGAGGGAGGAGGGAGGAAAGGAATGTAAGAGAGAAAGTGAAATCACCCCTATGGGAAACAGTCATTTCACAATCCCTTCTCTTCCATTTCTTCCTCTGTTTGGGATTTTGGTCATGCTTACATGCACACCCAGTGTGTTTTAAAAGCCAACTTGGTCTGGTGTGGAGGTTAAATACTGTGCAGAGGTTGCCAAATCCTACATGATCCTGGCCTGGTAGCAACACTTTGGGTGCACTTGCACACATGCCTAGGGTCCTGCTGGAATGGAGAAAAAAAATTTCAGCATGATCAACCTCCATCGAGTGGTGCTTTCTCTATCTCTCTCTGGTGTGCGCATACACACACTGACACAAAAGAAATTTGAAATGAGTTTCTGTTGGGCTCCATATTTTTGCTCAAAATAGATTTTTAGCAATGTACCACTTTAATAAATATTGCTTATTCTTACCAATGAAAAGTTATAATGGATGTCGTTATGGTGTGGGTGATGGATTCATATATTGTAATTGAATGTTGGGAAGTGGTGACGTCTAGTGGCAGTGATTGGATTGTGGTGATTGCATCATTGAGGCAACATTCTCATGACTAGGTTAATGATGTCTCTGGAGACCTAACCCCTTCTTATGTGTTCTAGCTCTTGTGAGATAGTGTTAGTTCTCACAAGACCTGGTATAAAAGACATGTGCTTGTGGCTTGTACTATCTCTCTGTACATGCCTGCGTTCTTCTCTGCTTCCATTGGCTGTGTTGTAAGACAGCCTGATGCCAGGCCTATACCTTTTGACTTTCTAGTGCCAGTTAATAAATTCTTTTTTCCTAATAGGATACCCAGTCTCAAGTATTTCCGTTAGCAATGCAAAAATGGACCAAGAAATTTGGTGTTATGTTGACTTATTAGGGACAATCTAGATGTGTTGTTTTAGATTTATGAAATAGAGTACACTTGATTACAATGAACTGTTTTCTCTCTGTTCTTAAAGTAATTATCTAAAGTTATACGAAACAATATCGTTAAATACTTCACCCATCACTTGGAGTTAGGAAGTTTATAATTCACCATGGTTCAACATGTTAGTGATAGAATATATACATATGATTTATAATTGCCAGAGCTCATGCACTCACCAGAGAGAGACAGAGAGATAGAGAGAAGGAGAAACATCCCCCATTGGAATGTGGTCACGCCACAATCCCTTCTCTCCCTTTCTCCATTCTGTCAGGATTTTGGGCACACATGCCTAACATGTTATCAAGTTTCTGGGGCTGAGAGTTGAACTGTATGGTTGGCTTTGTGGGATCTAGTTCCCTTAATCACACAACTATGATAGAAAATATTTTTAAAAACTAAGCTATATTCACTTTTTATTAAATTGGTGAATTCTAATGAATGACATCTATTTTGTTTTCCATGCAGCATCATTAGTAATTGCGTCT